ATTCCAGTCGGCAAATTTAAATTTTCGCCAGTGCTGTGGAGCTTCAATCTTTGGCTATGTCTTGGGCTACTCAAATATTTTACGTTTTTGATACTAAATTAACATCTGAAGTATAATTTTTTATTATTTTTATATTTTTCAATATATTTATTTTGTTTGCACAAAATAAAAAAATAATTTCTAACGATACAATAGACTTTGTTAGGCTTAACATCGACGAAAATTCAACGCAAAGCGACATGCAACGGATAAAAATTTCGACATCGGATACGTTAAACTATTTTTTCGTACGTAAATCAGTTATCCGAAATATCAGTTATCCGGACAACCCCAGTCCCTAATTGATTCGGAAAATCGACGCTCTACTGTATATTAAAACAAAACACTATTTGGCATCACGAAGTAGTTTATAATCAATTTGTCCATACTTGTGAGGTATGTAATTAAAGTTTTCAACGCGGTTCTAGTTTAAAGTGGCATATTCTCATACACAGCAATGAATACTTATATTCTTGTCATATGTGTAACAAATATTTTAAGACAATAGGTTTCTTGGACAGCAGAAAATTATTCATAGCGATACAAAGATATATGTTTGTGACATATGTAAAAAAAAAAATGTTATAACAATACAACTGTTTTAACCAGAAATTGTATTATTAAACATAAAAAAAGGCGAAATTTGTATAAAAGGAAGTATGTATGCAATATTTGTAACAAGCTATTTAAGATTAAAAACATACTAGAACGTTGGAAAATTCACATTGAAAAGTGAAATATGTGTAATAAAGGATTTCAAAGTAAACGCAACTTAATCAGCAGAAAGTTCATTTTAACATAAAACCATTCTGTTGTCAGAAGTGTAATAGACATAAACAATGAAGACAATCTTCGTTACGGTTGTGAAGTGTGTAAGATAGGTTTTTATATTAAAAGAATTTTATTAAGCCTTCAACTCGTTCATCAGAATCATTCGTATTTTAGAATTCATTGTAAAATCAATTTAAAACAGAGACTAAACTGAAATTGCATTTAAATCTTACTTGTTTAGAATACACTCCAATTATTTTATCAATGTAACATATGTTGATCAGACTTTTACGTGTGGGGAGGTATTAGAGAAGCATATGACTATTTTTTATATTCAGATTCATTTCTAGTGATGTTTGTAAAAAGAAATTTACGACTCGAATTCCAAACTCATCAAAAGTCTAATCATATGCCGAATCGTTATTTACTTATGTTTTATAATACAGTTACAAATACTTGTAATTAGGAATAATATCAATCTAAAAGAATAAATTTAACGCGAACATTCGTGACGTCAGGTAGACATGACGCCATAAGAATCCGATGGCAGTGCCCTGTAACCGATTTTGGCAAAGTTGTGCATTTTGCTTGGTTTAAATATATCATTGACTTTAAAATGGATAACATAAATGTCGTAGGGAGTTTTCAGTCTCTTTGTATCTTTAGTCTGTGCCTTCATTTACATATTTATAATATACTGGAAATCTGCCAAGCATGGCGGAACATGTTTTATCAGAAAATAAAGCTTGAAGAATTGAGATGATCTTTAAATTGAGCTTGACGTTGTAATCCTCAGCCATTCACAATGTTGTTGTTACGCTATGTTGCGTAAGTCGGAGTTCACTGCTCTTGGTGATGTCGGTTGTTATTCTTGTATATGTAGAATTTATCTTACCAATTTTTCTCTTACGCTTACCCCCAAACAAAATAGCGAGTGTTTTTAATTCCACTTTGATAAAACAAATATGAATTTTATGTAGAGTGGCCATCACCAAATGCCTAAAAGAGACTACACTGTTGGAGGTAACCCCTGCGAACCGTATTGACTCCCGTGCTTTTCATTCTTTATACACATATGTATAGGGGAGACCGGGGCAACTTCGGCATGCGGGGCAAGTTTGTCAAGCGCTTTTTTTTAAAAAACAAATTAAAAGGAGACTTTGGTTATAGGTTAGGCAGTTGAGTTTTATTGGTGGCTTGTTGAGTATAGTGTTTTTATTGTTCTCCAACAAGCGTAGTTGAATTATCAAGCAAATTTTCATTTTCGTTCAATTCCATATAATATTTTTTTTCCATTTATATTGAATTGGCAGGTTTTCTTATAATTCCATGATAACGAAAGTTACTTTTCCTGTTAGAAGGATGTAACTTCAACTTATTCACGTGGCCAGATCGTGGCTTGGCATTCTGTTCTCAGGGTTGTACTTAATGTTTCGAAATCATGACTAGCGGGGTAAGATCGGCAACATAAAGCCACATTAGAAGCAAAGGATAAAAATCAAACAGATGATAAATGAAAACATGTTTGCATTTGTTATTCATGTATATATGTCTTTGAACTTGCATTTCGTTGTAATAATATTAAATGGGTGTTGGATTTGTATTTCTTTGTTTTAATAGTGAATTCCAACTTATACATTGTTAATAACATAATTTTATATACGTGCCTATCTTGCCCCATTACTGTTGCCCCTATACCAGGGGCAACTTTAATAAAAATAATTAAAATAATTACAACTTTACAAAAAGAGAGAAGTTGCCGATCTTGCCCCTATACCCGGGGCAACTTCGTCAATTTCTCTCTTCTTGTAAAGTTGTAATTATTTTAATTATTTTTATTTCCAAACTGATTTTAACCAGTTCTATAGTAAGGTAACATTCCAATAGACAATATGCAAAGCTTTTTTTTCAGTTTACAGCAGTATTTATTACACAAAATTTAAGTAAAGCTTAACATGCCGATCTTGCCCGATCTCCCCTAAATAAATTAAGGAAAAATAAATGTACGGAATGTTCAATAATCAACGATAATATTATTTAAACGACGAAAACCGTACATGAAGTAATACATGTAAATGATGCAAGAAACGATGAGAAAGAAAACAAAAATACAGTTCAGTGGGTGATCGGTTAATTAATTTAACGAACATAATCCATTCAGAGACTGTTCATTATCTGAATTGTTTGTTAACGGATTATCTATTTACCGTAGGTTTTAATGGGAATTTGATTAATTCGTTCTGAAGACTTGAAAAAATTTTAAAAATATATACTTTTCTGTATCTGGACTGCTGTATGTTACTGCTGTTTTTGAAAAATTAGCACTGAAGAGGGGTTGGATGAGTATACTAACCCGAAATGCATATGTCATTTTTTAAAGAATAAAAGTGAGTTCCAAACTAAAAGTTTTGCTGTGAGTCCGTCTACCAAAAAACCTTTTGGATTACAGAGACGAATTATATACATAATATATACTTTTTTACTGCGTTATTTATATGTAATAATAAAAATACATATATACACTGTCTTGCATTTTTATTAGTTATGTTTTTTCCGTTTGTGAGAGTTAAACAATCTGCCTAATGTCCATTGCTTTTTTTCTCTTCAGGATTTTTCAGAAGTAATTAATAGCATTGTACTGTAATTGTAGAGATCCCAAGTTTATTACCCTGAACCTGGTTTGGATGCCATTCTAAAACCGTTGTTCTGACATTCTCCCACTTCTCCAAAAGATATTTAATAGCATATATCGGCGTTAATCCTCTTTTTCAGAAGAAAACATTTCTCGCCGCGTTTCTTGGCGTTCTTCTGTCGTCAGATCCGTTTTAGGTTCCATTATGATTCCTTCAGTGTCCTTTATTTCTCAAATGTGAGCTTTTTTACTCCTTTAGCTGCTCGAGTCTTCTTTATTATACTATATTTTTCTTAGATAAGATTGAATGGGGGTGAGGTATCTGTTTGTAGAAGAGGGTCGCCATTTTGTATTTTATTTTGACTCGATTCTCGGTCCCCTGACTACTTACGAGTCTGGATTTTTTTTTTTATGTGAAAATGATTTTGGCACCTAATACTGTAGACCTGTTCAAGCCATACTGCCCAGCAACATCAGACATCATCTGGCCAAACTCCACCTTTGCTAGTATACTCTCACCTTTCAAAAATAAAAACCGACGCAAAACGTAACGGGTGCCCGCCCGACGGTCTCACGAATACTATAAAAGAATTGTTTCTGTCAAAAAAAATAAAAGACCGTAATCACAAGGGAGAGTTTCAAAATTCGAAGGAATACTATCCGATCAGTATATACCGGGTTGAGCGTCCATGTCGACGTCTCGAGCGCCCGAAAATTTTCAATTGTTGTTTGAAGACAAGGGAAGACCGATCGGTATTTTATATTTATTTCATGTACTGTACTTTCTATATTATCAGTCTCATTATTTCATTTCTTTTTGATTTTCCTGAAACTGAATCATCATTCATAATTTGATAAGATTTATCTTTATCGTCATCATCATCATCCTCAATATCGTACTCACAGATGCTCCCATCTGTATTTAATATTCAGGCCTCGGAGTCGCTCACTTTTCTCACTTCTATTCACTTTTCTGAAGTATCCTCACTTTTCTCACTTTTTTGGTCATTTCCACGTGCTTAAAAATTAGGAAGATGTGGGACCAATCAAAAATAGTTTTAAAGCCAGACGATCTGCCGAATTATCGAACCTATCGGACTAGAATTTTATGAAAAAAATACTCCGCCCGAGCGGGGCTCTTAATCGCAACTGCCGCTCAGTGTTGTTAAGTTATCGTCTGTATTTATACGTAACTAGGTAGTCAGTTAATTAAAACAAAAAATAATAATTAAATTTTAAAAATATTTAACTTAAATTTAAAATTAAATTAAAATTTTAAAACTGTTCTTTATATCGAAACAAAAACCGAAACCGTAGCTAAAATTAAAAATAAAATCAAAATTAATTAATGTAAATTAAAATTGAAATCAAATCAATTGAAACATATTATTTGGGAAGGTGCGGATAAAGTACTTGTCGGTCTTGATTGATTTGGTTAGGTCTATATTTCATGCAGGCAGAGTTGAGAGTCTATTTATAGCACTTATTTGTAAAGGCTTAGTTTCGGTTTCGGCGGTGTGGGAACATTCGCAGGAAAAAGTTCCTCGTTATTTATGAAATCATTAATAAAATATTATTTTACTTATTCTATTTGAAATTGTTTATTTCGGATTTATTAATTTATTTTTAAAATCAATATTTACACATCTCGAAGTATTTAAAAAAATAAACAGTTTTCGATCGTGCTCATAAAAGTTTCGTTTTCTGCTTCTTATCGTTTGATTTTGTTCGTAATAAGAGTTGTTAATTTTATTTCAAATTAATATAATAATNGGTACAGGGTAGGTTTATTACGCCTGTATCACTTACTAGGCAGCTAGTCGGTAAGACTAGTTCTGTACGATGCAGATCACTAGATCTGATCTCAAAAATTTCATAGGAGAGCGATAACCGCTAGTATATCTGAACTGTGAAGTCCAGATGCTTGTCAGGGCTGACACCAGTTTGTCAAATTATCGATCCGCGGACAAACACGCGTGTGAGATCCGATTCTGATTCAAATTAAGAGACATTTTTAATTAATAACGAAATAATAAATTTAATAAAACAAAGAAAATAAACTCATACAAAAATATTAATGAACGAGAGATAGAACTACTACAAATAATATACAAATCGAGTGATATCTATACTTATCTTATACCCAATTCGCGATCGAGAGAGAGAGCTCACAAAATCGTTATAAAACATACAACCTGTTCTAGTTGTCGTAGTCTTCTTCTCTGTAGAAAAGGGACACTTTGGAGATAAAGTTCATTTACTTCTTTCCATGGGAGATCGACATGTGCACAAAATCAAAGTATAATTTCGAAGTGCCGACTCTGGACTTATTCTAAGCGACTCGACTAAGGGCGTTGGTCATCCGGAGGAAAATGTGTGGAGTTTGGACGCTTCCAGATCTGTCGCTCAACTCCCCGATTTCGGACAAATTTCCCTTATATCTCAGGATTTACGACCAATCATCTGCTAGAAACTCGTTCATGTGAACGGTTGAAAGTGGAATCAAAGAGGGGTAGATAGTTCCCATCTGAGCGAGATTTTTAGCGGATAAGGGAAAAACAGAAGATGTACGGACTTCCCTCAAAGGAAGTAACATCTGACATCTATCTTTCCCACGTCCAAAACATTAGGTTTCTCACAAAAATGAAGTAATATTTGGTGACAATATTTTAACATTATTAATAAAAATTATTAAATTAGACCCAGGGCCTTTCGGTTTTCACAATAATTTGTGATCACCGGAAGTGCTATTGCATCGTAGTGTTTTCCTGAATGATCTGATATGGGATACATTCATTGGCACTATGGATTCGGACACCATTTATTGGACTATT